CCCACACAATGATACTCAAGACCTCCATGGATATCCAGGCATCAGAATTCACACTATCTTTCAATCTAAAGAATTATTGGCTAAGAACATATTTGTTCAGATCATCAAGCTGCATGGCATTTTAGCCTTTGGTTTTACACTAACACGTTGGCTACTTAAAACTTCTGATCAGAAAAAAAAAGGACCCCACATCCAGCTCTGCATAATCCGGTTTCTTTTTATTAGATACTTTCAGATATGGAAAATCCTGAAGACCCTAACTTTTTGTACCAAATTATTTAACTACCAAAGAAAATCCCAGTGAATTGCATTACTACAGTTATGCCCATATTAAAGGCTAATTTAGATAAAGTGTATTAAAAGACCATCGCAACTATTGAAAAATAAGTACCACAAAGACCAGATATTCAGAATTAGAAAACAAACCAAACATGATGCACACAGTGAAGGCACAGACAATTTAAGCTTCATTCTGGTTGTGATACCCTCCAGTAAGTAGCTATAATTAGGTAAAATAATAGATCTCCACTTCCAGACTGAACTTCTCATCTTCCTTCTCCCCACCAGAAAAAACCGCACTGAATTTGTCTAGTTTTGTCCTATCACACAGGAACAGCAAAAGAGCAGGACTCATAAATGAGACCATCTCAATGCATTTGCAACCTTAAAATAAGAGTACAGAAAAGGTCTAGCTTCAGCAAGAAGAGGAACTAAACCAATAAATGCAATTCCTTTGTCAACAGCAGCTACTGCTTTGAATTGTGGTTGCATGGCTGTTAGGTTTTTTCCTACTTTGTTATTTAAGTGCATCTGTAGATTTAGGCTTTATCATCATCTGTCTCTTACCTTGCAGCAGTCTCGTTAACTTTGAGTCTCTGTAGGGGACAAAACCACCCTTTTTATTTTCATCACCAAGAGCACTAATTACATTCCCCAGGCAGAGGAGACCTCTGTTTATGTTGATGCCTGCATAAAAACAGATGACAGTGAGTAGAGCCACCTCAGCAGCTAGGAACTGGTCATTTCCTGTCCTTGTTAAAAAATTGAAGGTGAAAAAAAGGCAAATTATAAGGGTTAATTAAAGAACTGCTTTGCTTTTCCTTACAAGGACTCTATTTATTAACTTAAAAGTGTTAAGAAATCCAAGCTATACCAGTCCTCTTCCTACAGACCTTCTTTTAGTCTGTCTCCCTCAGCCTTGGTCTTCTTTTGTCTCTCAGAGCCAGCAAGATCAACCAGGTGTAGCTTGGAGTGAAAACTGCTGTTCCTATGGCAGAAATAAATGATTTTACTCTCTCAAGTAAACCTGCAGTTAGGAAAGGAGCAGTCCAGTGGTTACTACAGTTGAGCTACTGGGCTGAAAAATATACTTCATATCAGAGACAGTCAAATACAAGAACTGCTTCAAGAGTAGCTCAGCTGAGCTCATTCAAGACCAAGAAAGAATGACAGAACTACAAAATTTTGAGTAAGTCTGACCCCTAAGAGCTGCTAGGATCAGCTGCGCAATCACACTTACTTGTCATTTTTCTTCTTCTGATCAATGCAAATGGTGAAGATGGCATGGGACCGTGAGGACTGGGAATTCATTGCCGTGGAGGCCACTGTTCTGGAATTGTTCCCTTGTTCCAGGCAGGATACAGTATCTTGGGCACAGGTGACATTTCTTTCTGTTAACCCTACAATCTGTATCCAGGAAGAAAGCATCATTTATCCTCTCCTTCCTCTTCACCCCGATTTACATCAGAAAAATTATCCTCTGTCTTAGACTATGGCAGACAAAGTAAAATAAATACATATTGACAAGAATCATAGTCTCACTTCAAGCCAGAGGCTTGGTATGGATTCCCCCAGCAAAAATTTATTCTGAACTCCATATCGGTAACTAAATGGCATCACCCCTCTCTCAGCCTATTCCTACATGCACACACCAGGTTCCTCTGTGCCTGCTTGAGCTAATGGAATGGACCTTGAGCTATGAGCCAGGTGAGCTATGGGACGGAGACAGGGCTCTGCAATACTCTGTGGAGAAATTCCTAGCTGCCCTCGGATATCCTCTGGCCAAGCTGGGAGCTGAAAGTTGTGCCAGTCACAGGCAGAGAAAGCGGAAATGGGCTGAAGGGGGTCGGGTGTTTGTGTGAAGAGAGTGGAGGGGACGCAGGTATTAGGGACATAAAGGGCAGAGGGGACTGAGTAGCAGGGACTGGTTGTGCTCCCTGGCAAGCTTGCGCTTTCCCTGAAGAGCCCATCTCTCTGGATCACAACGCCACTACCAATATATGGATGAGCCGCACACCAGTACTTTAGAGGTGACGGTGAGCAGCACAAGATTACACACAACAAAAACATTAATGGATCAAACCTACAGGCGTCACGCACATTTAAGCTGTGTATATGACAACCAACAACCTCCCTACCACTGCAAACTGAAGCTGTATAAATGAAGTACAACTGATAGATGGAAGTTTAACTACAAAACAAGTACACAGAACAAGCAGTAGCACAAGGTCTTTCTGCACTACACTATAAGCACACTTCTGTACAAAACTGCTAAGAAAATAACTTTGGCACTTAAATAGTTTCCCCTCAGGATCCCTCTGTCGCACACTACTTCTGCCAAACTGAAGAGTACAATTGCAACAGAGTTTGAAATTTGGCAAAGGGACCCAAAGTACAACATTCTCAGATATTCACCTAAATCAGCCTTCAAAGAAAAGCCAGAACAGGACTTGCAAGTGGCTCTGTCATGAATGTCTAACCCTACTGGTGTCACCCTTTGGGTAAACTTCATGATCATCAACAGCTTCATTTATATAAAACAGCGCTCAAGGAGTCAGACAGTTGTTTCACCAAAACATTCATCCCTAGCGATGCCACCCTCTTATGTACCTATATCTAACAGGGCAACAGACCTTTATGCCTTCTTTTGGATCTTCCCGTATACTGATTGGAGAAGACCGTTCTCTTGAGGGGCACAGCAGGTCTAGAATATCCTCATTGTAGATCTAAAAGCATCAGGACAGCAGTTCAGAGTTAGCAGCAGTGCAAGAGAACAATTCGCATAAAGAACAACATACAGTTACGCCAAAATCATGGCTAACATTGCGTGACATTCTATTCATTTTACCTTTAGAGAAAGATACCTAGGACTCAGAATCAAGTTCCTGACAAGATCTTACATAGATCTTACATTACTTCGGTTTTGATTTAATAAATACCTGTTACTTGAAGGAGGTGGCCTCTTTAAAGCTTGCTTTATGTGCAATTCATAACTTTATAATAGTTTGAAAAGTCAAACCAACTTTTACCTCTAGATAAGAAACTTTGAGGACGAATTCCCAATCTTGCCTTTGCTCCTTCTCCTTAAATAGCAGTTTGATTACCCGAGGGATGACCCCCACACTGGGTTCATGCTCTTGATTGGCAGTGTAGGTACCTCCCATAGAGTACGTTTTTCCAGATCCTGTCTGTCCATAGGCTAAGACAGTAGCATTATACCCTAGGGGAACAAATGGCACCCAGATCAGACAGTCACGTGGGAACCAGAACAAACTGACAAAAAAAGCTGCATTCTAATAAAAGCATCCTTCCAGAAAAGCACTGCCCCTCACTGTCAGTTTACACAAGCTTTAGGCACAGGTCACTGTTAGCAACGTCAAGGGGAAAAAAAGTCAATGAAAAGCTCCCCAAAATGCAGGTAAAATTATTATTCCAGCTGTTTTTTAAGACTGCGCTGCTGCTTTACTAGAGCTAGCCATAGAAATACAGTTTAAGTTCTCCATCATCCCAGCTCCGCTGTAGCATCGCTAACAGCTTCTGGTATGGGATGCTTATCAATTCACTGTATTATTCTTGATAAAATTCTCTTGCCTTACATAAATAGCTGCAGGAACCAAAATGACCCAGAGAACATGCACAAGTCATTTTGTTAGCCCTGCAGAGTACAACAGGTTGTAAACAGGCAAGATTTAGCACTTTTCACTAGAGGCTGGGGTCAGCATCTAGATAGTGCAGGAGTTTATTTTCTGCAAAGATCAAAGAAAAAGCAACTCAGAACAGAGAATTAAACAGCACCTTCTTCCACACAGCTGAGCCCACCGAACCCCCCAGTATTTTAAAACAGAGCTTTAAGTCAGTTAACCACAAACCTTTGAAGATGCCTCGTATGAGAGGGGCGACAGCCGTGTTGAAGACTTCCTCTTGCTCAACAGAAGGGTCGAACACATAGTCGTACGTGAACGACTTATCGTTACCTACAACCACCTGCGGAGGTGACCAGAACAAAAACCGCTGACTACACCGCCCCAGCACCGTGGCAGCAACCCCCCGCCCCGGGCGGGGTGAGGGGAGAAGGCAAGGCCGACCCCCGGGACGCAGAAGGCCGGCTCCCTTACTTGCGGTTCCCCCGACACGAAGGACAAGCACATCTGGCACCCTTCGCTGATCTCCTTCGGCACCAAGGGACGGCAGCGCAGCGCCACACGCACCGGGATCACCTTGTCATCTTCCCTCACCATTTTTCTGTCACCGCGGACGCCCTAAAGGAGGAACGAAGCCGGTTAAGGCCTCGCAGGACCAAAGCCCGCCGCTGCTCCGGAGCTACCACCCTGACAGGGCCCAGCGCCGCGGCTCACAACCCGGGGCCTAGGCCGGAGGGGGGCCCAGCCCCTACGGGCCGCTCCCGCCGGTAGACCAGGCCCCACCGGGCGAAGGAGGAAGCGCGGCGACCACCAACCCGGCAGCGTCCGTACCTGAGGGGACCCGAGGAGGGAGGGAAAAGGGGGTGGGGGGTAGTCGCGGCGCTGCCCCCGGCGACAGCGGGACCCACCTAGAGCCGCCGCTGACCGTTACGATGGCGGCGGCGCCACCAACATTCAAACCGGGGCCGCGCGCCGCCAACCGCCAATCGCCAGGCTGCGCGCCGCCAACCACCAATCGCCAGCCGGCGCGTCACGGCGGAGGGGGGGGTGGGGTGTGGCGAGGCTGAGGTGAGGGGAGGAGGGCGGTGCCGTCCCGTCAGGCGGCGCGGCGGCAGCATGGAGGGCCGGTTGCCTTACGACGATTTCCCGGTGGTTTTCCTGCCGCCTTACGAGAGCCCGCCCGCCTGGGTGCCGCCGCATGAGGTGAGGTGAGAGGTGGACGGGGAGGGCTAGGTGGCAGACCGGGTGGGTGGGGTGAGTGAAGGGGCTGGTGGGCCGCCACCCGGCCCGTTGGTGGTGCGGGTGTGCGGCGGGTCCCGCCGGCTGACGGCCCGCCGGCGCGTTGCCTTGCAGCGGGTGTACCACCCCGACTACAACAACGAGCTCACCCAGTTCCTGCCCCGCACCATCGTCCTGAAGAAGCCGCCTGGAGCGCAGGTGAGACCCCCCTCCACACAGACCCCGGCACGTGGGCTCCCTCACGGCCACCACGTTCCCCTCGGCGTGGTGTTTCCCGTGTTTGAGTCACAGCCGTCCTTCCCAGCGCCTTTGCTTGGTAAAGATCGGTTGATGCAGAGGCCGAGCTTGCGGGGCGATGATCATCCCCGACCGGCGTGCTGAGGGCAGCCCGTGGGGGGGGAGTTCCTTGGTGCTTTCCTCATCCAAGCACTTGGCGGGACCGGTGGGATAAGGGGAGGCATCGCTGCTGCCCTGCTGGGAGAAAAAAAGCTTTGTGGGTGAGGCAGAGCAGTAGAATATCTTGGGATGCGGAGCTGATACGGGACAGGGAGCCCCTGGGGTGTTTAAGGTGAGATTGCCACAGAATTTAGCAGAGAGGGACTGGTGCTTGCTGCTGCCTGGCTGAACGCTGCAGCACCAACAGCTTTGCTCCATCCAGAAGAGACATGTTAGCAGTGGGAAGGGTCCTGGGACAAAGGGGGGGTGACTGCAGTTCACTGCTGGTTTCTTTCACAGCTGGGATTCAACATCCGGGGAGGAAAAGCCTCGCAGCTGGGGATCTTCATCTCTAAGGTGTGTCTGTCCTTCTGCCATTCCCTCCCCGTGTTCTGTCTGTTCCCTTGGGTGTTGCTGAGCCAGCAGGGCGTGCAGGGAGATTGTCATATGCCTTATATGCATCTCCAAACACATAGCTGTAATTTGCCAGGCACCAACCAGCAATCAGACAGTCCTGTGCCATTTCCTGGTCGCTGCCCAGCCCACAGAGTGTTGCTGGTGCGCTGCAGTCCTCGCTCCCCATCCTCCCCCAGTCCCGCCTGAGTGTGCTGGATAGGCACCGTGGGGAGGCTCTGGGGCTGGGCTGCCTTGGCTGCGAGGGAGGGGAGCCGCTGCACTGGCTGTGCGGAGAGTCACTGCTGCTGTCTCTGCTCTTCCCTTCGCAGGTGATCCCCGACTCGGATGCACACAGAGCTGGGCTGCAGGAAGGGGACCAGGTGCTCTCGGTCAACGATGTGGATTTCCAGGATATTGAGCACAGCAAGGTGAGCACTCCTGTGGCCCAGCTGCTGGAGCAGGGACAGGATGGGGATCCATGTACACACCATCTCCTTCCAGCCTCTCAGCCCGCACCAACTCAGCTGCTGGCACCACATAACTGATAGATTCCTCTTTCCTACCCTCCAGCCCAGCATGGTCACTGAGCAACTCTTTCTGCTTTCAGGCTGTGGAGATCCTGAAGACAGCCCGTGAAATCACCATGCGTGTGCGTTACTTCCCTTACAGTAAGTGCCTGCTAGCTCCGAGTCCAGTCACCTAGCAGCATTTCTCCTTGGGAAGCAGACTGCCATGTGTCCCCGCCGATTCCACCTGAGCCTAGCAGTTATGAGTCTAAGGCCATAGACGGTGTTAAGCCTGCAGATCAGAAAGAAGATTGGGCTTTGATTTGGGGATCGAGGCAGGTACCAAGTCAAAACAGTAAGGACTGGCTTCAGCTGCCCACACAGAAAAACATCTAGAGCAGAGCTTAGCAACACAGTGCTAAAAGGTGGGATGATTGTTGAATGGAAATGTTAACTTTAGAGCTGTAGAAGTAGCTACTTATCCTTGAATAACATAGGAATGAGTTGTGTCACTAGTGGACCTGTGCCAGTGGTGGACACTGCTTGTGGCTTTTATCCCTCCCTAAAGACCTTTAAATTCCAAGTGGAGGAAAAGACTGTATTAACTCTCAGTTTCTGCACCCATAAAGTTCATACGTATAAGGGGAAAAAAAGAGGTCAGGTCAAGCCAAACAAGGATTCTTCATAAAATGGAAACTGGCCCTTAAGTGAAGAAAGAAGAAAACTATGGAGTAGGGGAAGAGAGGACTTTAGAACAAAAGTTTGTTTAAGTGCCCAAAAAATAGCTTGAAATGAGTGGCTGGGGTGCAAATACGCTATTTCAAAGCCAGCTGCAACCCAAGAAAGTAGCCTTTACTGCCTCTACTTAGTGAGGTATAAACAGAATTTATGTTTTCCTTCAACATTTTGGCTAATTCCCCCTTGTCATCAGCAACTGCCACTCCTGCCCTTTCAGCCTTGCCTTCTCTTTCCTTTCCAGATTACCAGAGACAGAAGGAAAGAACTGTTCACTAGTAGGCAGCTGTCTGCTGGGTCTCCAGAGTGGCTGTCCTGCAAAAAACTCTCCACTACTTTTCCTCAACATGTGAGATGACACATCAAGTTTCGGCTGTCACTGCAGGTACGACTGTCCTGTTGGCTGCACAGGCATCAGCTCTGCTTCCTGCGTGGAGGGATGCCAACAGTCTTATTTAGCTGGAAGATGGATGGGGCTTTAGTCTGTACTCCTTGAACTGGGTGTTGAAACAAGCTGATGGTGCTGATGTGGAAGTGGGTACCGGAGGACAGCTTCTTTGGCAAGATCTGTGTTTCTGTTCTAGCAGGACTTAAATTAAATGAGTACTCTGCTGGTTCTGGATCCAACCCTTGTTGCTAGATGTAAGGCCAAGAGGGTCTGAGCGTGCTCGAGCAAAGCACGGCCTTTGTCCTCCAAGAGATCAACCTGTTCACTTCTCCAGTGACATGAAATTCTTTCCTTCTCCACTATCCTACCTCTGCTCTACACTACTGGGTTTGCTTGGGACTCAAGGAACAGGAGTAAAATCCACTCAAACTCAGTGCACATCTCTAGTTGCACTAGTCTGCTAAGGTGTGTTTGTACCTCTTTGCTGCTTAACGACCCCCATGATACAGGACCGAGGTGCCTGGAGCATGTTTCTGAACTGTTGTGGGCACTTGGCCAGGTTCCCTCAGCTGTGGTGCTTGCACGGTTAAGGGTTTCACTCGCTGAACCTGCTTCCATCACTTGGCACAGCCCTGTCCCTGTCACGTGCTCCCATCAGAACTCCCTGCCACTTTGAGGTAAAATTCTCCCCTTCCATGTTTTCAAAGATGGGTGAAGAAGCCTCCTGTGCCCTGTGCTGGGAGAGCACAGATGAAAACGTGCTAGTTATCAGCAAAGGGGGGTGCAAATGCATGGTAGTATCACATCGTAAATGGCATCAGGACAGCCCTTGCTCTGGCCTTGTGCGGTGTTTTCTGCTTGTCTGTAATAACTGAAATAATAAAAAGAGTATAGCAAACAGAATTCATCTTATTCCCACTCAGGAAGTCTCTGTGGAGGGTTGTTTGTTACCATCCTCAACACTACCCCGAGGAAACGCTCGGTGGACAGCTGGGACAAGGCCTGGCTTTAGTTGCCCTTGCAGCCTGTAAGGGGAAAGCATGGGACCCACGCGAGGTGCAGCTCTGTTTTAAGGGTGTTTTTCCATTGATTGTAATGGAAGTCAGCCCTTGATTAGCCTGGAGCGGTGTTTCAGCACTGCCAGGAGCAAGAGCTGCAATGGAGGGTTTTGTCTGTCATGGCACTAATGCAACTTAAGTGAGACAGCCAAGAGCAGCAGCCCTGACAGCTTCAGCACTGCCAGCCAGGTTGCTCTTAGCTCAACTGCTGGGCAGAAAGCTGAGCCAGGCTGAAGCAGAATAAAAGACACTAGAAAACAGACTTTCACTCAGAATGAAAAAATAGCTTTTCTACCAGGGAAATAAGCATCCTGGAAAGCCGCACTGTAAAACACCCTGGAGAAAGCAAGCTAAGAGCTCTTCTACGGAGACAGGCCTCTGTGTCCCATGGTGATTTGCTTCCAGTTTCACAGCATTTACACGCTCCTTGGGGAAGGAGAATGTTCAGGGCTCATGTTGCAGCAAGGCAATGTTTCATACTGCTCTGTCTTCCCTTCTCCCTCTGTTGTGCTCAGATGTGCCAGGGTGCCTGATGCGTGCATTCGATCGCTGTTTTCCAAAGCCAACCCTGTGGTCTGCCTGGTGGAAAACAGCGATCGAATGCACACATCAGGCTTTTGGCACTCAACCTAGCTGCCAAGGAGCCAAGAGGCACCTTGAACTCTTTCCACAGGGGACTGCAAATATAACCTCAATGTTCAATCTGTTAATCCTGCTTCAAAGCAGTCCCTCGCAGGAGCTCCAGGGAGATCACCCCTGCCTAGGGCGCCTAGGGCAGCTTCCTCCTTACCATTACTCAGAGGTAATTAGTGGATGCCTTTGCAGCCATTGCACTGACCCCGTGACTGGCTGTGGGCTAACAGGAAAGAGTGGATTCTTTCCCAAGAAACACTCATGTCTTAGGTATCTTAATTGACAAAGCAGTACTAGGGTTTGTACTGGTGACCAGAGTCCATTTCATTCTCCAGGAACTGGAGGGACAAACAGGGGTAGTTACTGATCCCTGCTGAGAAAACAACAGGTCTAGCAACATTGGATGGTTTTAATGTCTTGCAAAATAGAGGCCAAGAGTCACAAGCGCTGGAGCAGTTTTAGTTTGTCAATGAATAACTCCCTGCCCAGGAAAGCACACTGGCAGAGGTACTGCAGGTAATTTGACCTTTTGGAGTGACAGTAACAGCCCCAGAACAAGCTATGTTGTGTTAAAGCATGGCAGGTTACACCTGAGAAACATACCGTGCAGCTCCTCTCCCTGAGCATAACTCAGCCAGGTTGGTACAGGCGGCCCGTGTGCTCCTGGCCCCGTTCAGTCTCGGTGCTGAGCGGGGCTGGTGTGCTCGGACACACACAGTCACGTCTTGAGAGAAAAGGCTACGAACACAGAGATTTTCTTTAAAAGTTCCCCACTACCTTATTGTAAAAGACTGGATGCACCTGAGCAGCACCACGTGACATTCCTCCCTGCAGCAACACTAGCAGCATCAGTTCTCCGAACTGTTGTGGTCGCCCCTCTCATCCTTCACTTCGGACAGGCTGCTCTCATCGACGTTCTCCAGCGAGGCAGCACACTGCGCCAAGAGAGGAAGCTTGTTCTGCTCAGGGTACAGCCAGGGTTTCATGTTAGCGTCGTGCTGCTGCTTCCAGGCAGGGTATTTCACGCAGGCCTTGTGCAGTATATCGGGAGCAGAGAAGTACAGGGGAAACAACCATGGAAGCTTAGAAAAGGTCTTGGCACGTGTCTCATCTAGCCACTAACAACACCTACTCCATTTCTTTTCTGGCTGCTTAGGAGGGACTCAGGACCCACTAGCAAGAAAGGCAGAAGGCCAATTTAACTCCTTGATGGGACCATCTTCTGCTTGCCCAGGTCCCCTGATGATGCCAGCTGCTTTAGGAGAGTGAAATTAAACTTCCTGTACTGAAATCCTTTGTCCCTGTCCTGCTCTGGCACCAGAGACCCCTCCAGCACTGCTCTGCCACTCAGCTCAGGATCTCCAAAAGCTACTGAGGTTTTTTTTCATGCCCTGTTCGGACGGGGCATGAAAAGTGAGGGTCAGGCAGGTTATTGCACAAGGAGAGACCAGAGTCGCCGTATTATTTGTAGCCCTCTGGCTTCAGAAAAGCATCAGTCAGCTGTCAAAACTGGTAAGGCTGGCAGAATGTGACGCCTCACCAGAGATGAGCCAAGATGCCCATTCCTAGTGCAGCCTCACCGCCGAGGGAGGCCCACCCTCTGCAGCCCTCTGCTCCAGCTACTGGGGTGAGACTTGGCACAGGCACCTTGGAAATGCTCCACTCCCCTGCCGCGCCAGGTACTGCGAAGCTTTATTTACAACCCGCTTTGGCAACGACCGTAATAGATGGAGCTGGGGAAAAACAGAAGTTAACGTGCCAGAAAATAGCTGTGCTCCTACCAACCACCCAGAGGCCCCATAGCAAGCTGTAGCATTCGCATCATTGTTTGTCAAAGAGGGTCTGGAGCAGAGGAGTGCCACATTACATAGGCGCGCTCCAGATTAAGAGCAGGATTTCCACTGACTGGGGCCAGAATCTGCATCACCCCGTCACCACGTCCTGAGGCCCGCAGAACCAGAGTTACCTTTTGGATCCACCTGAGCCAGGTAGGTCAGACTGCAGCTGTTGGGCCCAGTTGAATGCACCAGGTATCCTGCCATCAGCTCCTCGCATGGAGGGTATTTCTGTGCAAACACATCAGACAGACAGATGCTGTCTCCCTGCCCTCTCCCTTTATCAGGTCTGGCGTTGAAAATACAGGGCAAAGACTAGGCTAGAGGCACAGAGGAGCTTCCTCAAGCTAAGGAACTTGTAAAGGAATTACACATCTACATGCTAGGGACTCTGGGACCCCATTTTTCCCAGGCACAGGTAGTATCTTGCTGTCTAGATAGACCACTGCACTCCTGTGAGGCTGGCACTGACCGTGCTTTAAAGCTCAGCTTTAAGGGAGCCAGCGCCGTATCTTGAGACCATCTGACTCCTAATTCAGGTGAATTTGTGCAGCTGGTGACCAACTCTAGAACAGCATTTTGCCCTTGCCAGAACCCTGCAGTTCCTGGGATCACTGTAATGGGAGAGCCTTCAGGCCCAGCCCACTCTTCACTCACCAGGTGTTTGATGGAGAAGTTGATAACAGCGTGATACCCATCCTCGACCTGCAGGGATCGCCGTGTCACCACAACCCTGTTCTCCAAGGGCTTCGGGCACCGCCCTGAACAAGGAAGAAAGAAAGTTGTTTCACCTGCCTGAACTGCATGTGGGGTCCGCATGGAAGTGCAGCCACTCTAGAAGCCTCTGCCTGGCTCAAGCATCCTCTTCTTTGCGATCTCACCATCTCCTCCGAGCAGCACCCACCCTACTACCCCTTCCCAGCCTGAGCGGTATTAATGACCTCATGCAGCAGAGGTCCCACGTGGTGCCCTGTACCCCAAACACCTCTCTCCTGCCTAGCAGCTTGGACAGTGTGTCCCCTCTATTTAACACAAGCCAAGTACTTCGGTGGACGAGTCAGTTCCATCCCGTCCCCCAGTCACAGGCGCAGTAGCCCACATCAGCATTGGCAGCCAGCCGGGCGATGCGACACGTGTCCGTGACGTCGGTGTCCCGCTCCCGTCGATACTCGACATCGCGCAGCACGTCGCACGCACCTCTCCGCCGCCTCGTCCAGGATGTCGATGCGGCACTGAGGGGACAGGCTCGCCCACCCCAGGCCCTGCACCTCTCCCTGGCGGGGTGTCTGTGGGACAGGACGGGGAGTTCCCCTGTGGACAGCAAGGCCGAACGCTGCCTTCGGGTTCCTCGCACCCCAAGGAGAGGAAGGGGATCCTGGAGGTGCAGGAATCCTGTCACGCTCCCCCGAGTGAGAGAGGAGCTGGGGCTCCCGCGGTGCCCCCGGGTCGGTGACACCCCCCTCGGCCTGGCAGGACCGGGTAGGCCGCCGCTGAAGAAGGCAGGCCCTGAGGGGTAGGCGGCCCAGCCCGGTTCCCCGCCGCCCCCGGGGCCGTCCCGGTGTGGACCCGGTGCGGTCCCGGTCGGCGGAGAGCGCGGACGGCGACGGCGTCGGCGCCGGCGCCGATCATCCCGCGCACGCTCCACGGCGGAAAGGATGACCCGCCTCTGCCACGCCCCCTCCCGGCAGCCGCCAATAGGATGGGCCGCTGCCGACCGCTTGGCCACGCCCCCGCCGGGCGGTTTAAAGCCCTTCTCTTCTCGTTCGGCTCCCAAAGCCCCACTTAAACCCGGTAATCTCGTCCTTCTTCCACCATACCCTACGCGGGACAGACTCGTTAAATTCACGAGTAAAATAACCAGAGGCAGGCCTCGGCTCCTCACCGGCAGCAGGACAGCGAAGGTGTTGGTGAAATAACTTTATTTAGTGTGATACACGGCCGTGGTCAGACAGTCCATACTCATATTAATAGTCACACTTACTCAGCTAACAGCTAGGAGACAGCAGGGCCAGACACACACTCAATATTATACACATCCATAGAGAAGACAGTGGGAAGTGAACTATTTTATTTCACTAGTTACCCCCCTCCCCCCCCCGTTACTTAGGGTCTCCCCCCTCCCTCCCCCCAGGTCCGTGACTGGGAACAACACGACAGCAGAGCAGCACACACCTGCCTGTGAGAAGGGGACAGCAAAACCTGTTCTACAGCAGACACGGACACACTGACAAACATCAGCAATTCCCACACAACAGGGGTATGTACAGAGGAGGGGGCTGAGCATCTCACCAGGCATTGGGACCCGGCTCTGCCAGCTGGGACTGTGGGTAAGGTGAGGGGGGGGGACACTCCGGAGTGAAATGGGAAACCGCATCCCTGCTTCCTCCTGCAGGCCAGCTCACCTGGAGGGGAAGGGACAGGTCTCTGGGGAAGAAAAGGTCAGCCACCGGCAGCGAGGTGACTTGCCGCCAGTAAGCCAAGGCGGGGACCACCAGCTCCCGGTCCCAGGCTGCCCCCTTCCCCTCCCCTTGATGGCCCGCAGGCTTCAAAGTGCGCACGCTGTGTCAGGGACCCGACAGGCATCCTGCTATGGGAGTGTCACTAACCACCAAACGCCCGTCACACTGCGGTCATCACTCTCCTGCCCGCTGGCATCCCCCCCATCAGTGTGACAGAGGCTGGGTGATGAAAAGAACAGTGAATGGCTTAGAGCCATCCAACTGTTTTATTCTCCTCGCTGTCAACAAACCTACAGACTTCTGGTTAGGACAGATGGATGGAAAACCCCCAGTAAAAGTCTCTGAAAAGCTCTATTAACGTAGTTAGAAACCAGGGGCAGGGAGAAGAGGATGTACTTCCCAACCTCTAAGGTGAAGAAGTGACACCAAAATTCACTTCAGCAGCATACATTCCTCCATTCCTCTACCCAGGTCTGACAATAAATCCCTGCCACTGCTCATCTCAGTTTTGGCAGTATTAGAGCTTAACACTATTCCAGAAGTGAAATGGCTACTAGCCCCTTCCCCCAGAAGTCTACTACAAAGGCAGAAGCAGCTACATATGATTTCATCAAGCAGCAACCTAGGTACGAGAGCACAACAGCTATCGCTGGCCTTCCATCTGCTGTAGCTCTCCTGCTCTGTGTGAAGAAGCTCCCAGCCTACGTGATGATGAACAGGAGAACAGAGACTAGAAAGGAGCCTGAACAGCATCCATGACTTCTAGGGCAGGTATTGCCCCTGTAGTGATGGATTTCAGGTAACTGTTCACTTTCACTGTTGACAGACAGGACCCAGGTCTCTACAAACCACCCCGAGGATCTCTCCCCACCCAGCTTCATGCTGCAAAGCCTCTGTACCCTCTTCCTTCCCCACATCTGACAGCCAACACTCACCAAGCACCGTCGTCTTCTGGATGGGAAGATGCTCCAACTGAGGAGAGCAGTCTGTAGGGTGTCTCTGCTACACAAACGGGAGCAACAAGGCCAAAGCTATCAGAGTTTGGGGGTTTCCAGTGCTGTGTGTAACACAAGGGGCAAAACTCAGAAGTCGTGAGCAAGAGTTAGCCAAGATCATCCACAGAAAGGAGAAACTGAGGAGCTAGTATTGTGTGTGCCCTGCAGGAAGCAAAAGCCGAGAAACAGATAACCTGTATTGTCCAAAAAGGCAAGGCCAAGTCAAACTGACTGGTTTAAAAGGAGCAGCCTTTTGAGAGAGGAAGTGGGGATGCAGGACAAAGACTGGGCTCACGTGGACAGGGAACTAGTTAAGATGCAAGGCAGTAAGGAAGGTGGAAAGCCCACCCTCAAGCTTTATTCTTGTCTTCCCTAACTTGGTGGCTTTTCCATTGCATTCACAAGACACATCTGAGCAGACAGGCTCAAGGTGGGGAAGAGGGGGAGGAGGAGAGGAAGAGAGAGAGTGTAAAGGGCACCACAGTGCCAAAGTGCAACAACATAAAAAAATAAAATAAAAGACAGGACACTCATTCTGCACTCAGGGCTCATACCATGCAGTAAGAGGGGCGGCCGGGGCTGCTCCCCACCAGTAAACAGGGAGTTCGCTCGCTTAGTAGATTGGTTTTTCAGCCCACAAAGTAGGGTTGCCTAGCCAATGAGCGGTGATGTTCTTCAGTGAGACTGGCCGGTTGGGGAATGTGCTGCTACAGAACGGGCCTGTTAGCAGGAGCACCCGCTCTCCGTTACTGGCTGCTCAGGAGGTTTCTCTAGTTTGATGTCAATCACTGCAGGAGACAAGTTAAGGAAATCACCCAGCCAAGGAAAAACAAGAAGAAGAGAACAGAGAAAGGCATCAGTATCTGAAAAGGTTGTTAGCTGTCCCTTCTTGATAAGGGCAGGTGTTTCAGCAGAGCAGAGGATATCCTGCCTGAACACGATTAACTGCAAAACCAGTGGACTTGGTAAGTCAAGACCATTTAGAGGACAGAGCCCAATCAGACAGGTCTGCGCACAAGACAGCCCTGTGCAAAAGGCAGAAAGTATTACGGTATTTTGAAACGATGCAAATTTTATCCTAAGTGGAGAAAGCAAAACTTGTGTTTGCCATTATAAGTAGTTGTGTAGATTGTATATGGAACACAAGCAGGGTCATCAATTTACGCCCATAGGTAAGCACCACTCTGTACTGGCTGTTTCAGCCATATCCCTGCAAAACCCCAATAAGGCCCATCCCCACAGTGTGCCAAAAAGTCAGCAAGCCCAGCGTGACAAAAGATAATTGCCAAATTCTATGAGAGCAGGGAAAGTTACTGACAAGAAAAAAACAAGGATACTGTCTTCTTTGCTCTTCTCTGGTGTGCTGTCCATCCCAGGTAAGGCAGCAGCCACACGACGGAAAAGCTGAAAAGTAGCAATAGATAAAGCTGAAGAAAACTTACCAGAAAAAAAAAAAAGCATGTTAAAAAAACATTGCTTTGCAACAGATCTTACAAACTTGTTATGTGGGTTACCTTAGCAAGCAAAACAATGATCAACAAATGCCACGAGAATTTTACCAAAGAAAGAAATTTAACAGGTTTTATTAAAGAAGTTATTCAATGCCTACAAAACACAGTTTGATTTTAACTGTTTCTACTTGAACAGAACATGGAATTAATTAGTAACATAGAACAATTCCCTCCTGCACTCAGTAAGCATGTTATTTACCGTTTCCAGCCTCAACTACTTTTGCACACAGCAACGTTACAGTGCACAACTCTAGACTTTTGATAAGCAACCTTGCAAGAGACCGAAGGTTTAAGAAGTCTGTGGAATAACTGAGGTTTTACAGCCCATCCTTGCAGTTCAATCTTGCTGCAAACCAGCCATTTCTGAGCAGAACAGCTGGCTCAAGCAAGCTGCATTTAAGCTATTAAGGATGTGCTAGAGCTGGGAAAGACTATCATATCCCCATTAAAAAAAACCCAGAAAATGGTTTTGCATAATTTTTCAAGTCAATGTCAGAGCTCCTCCTGCTGACATTAATGCAGCAGCTAACACAATACAGACACTGCTAGGCAGTCTGGTGAGAAGTGCTGCATAAAGAACTAGAGGAATCATCAGCCAGTGATGATTTTCCTCACAGTAGCTTGGCAGGGACTTCTCGTCCACACCTCAAAAGTGAGTTACTTGGAAAATCAAGCCACTGAGGTACCAGCATGGTGCTGCAGTGAGCATCCTTTTAGTCACAGAAGTTCAGTGCAAACACCTGCTAAGCAAATAAAGCAACACTAAGTTAGAACCAAAGACTAATGTGGATTCAATCCAGAATAGCCCAAAGAAACAAACCCAAAGTCTCCTAATCCCATTGTGAGGTTCTCCTAACCAGCTAGTGTGCAGCAAACTGGTATGTTTCCCAGCTGACACCAACAGTACTACGCTCCCTGCAGACCCCTGGACCTTACGGCTGCCTTACTCCCCAAGTTCTGTTACACTTCAGAATAGTTCCTGAACTAACGGAGAGTGGGATCACAAGCTTATAGCAAGAGGCAATGGGCACAAACTGAAATACATGAAATTCTGTTTAAACGCAAGACAAAAATTTTAAGTTTTTTCTACTGTACAAATAGCCAAACATTGTGACAGGTTGCCTGGAGAGATGGAGTCTCTATTCTTTGAGATATTCAAAACTCAACTGGAGTCAGTTCTGGGCAGCCTGCTCTGAGCACGGCGGTTGGACTAGACGATCTCCAGAGATCCCTTCCAACCTCAACTAATCCAAGATTTTCATCTGTGGCTTGAAAACAGAAGCACGAACTTCTACTCTAGTGCATCAGCATAAGCAATTATCCCAACTGATGTCAACGTTGATTTTAGAAAACAGTGCATGAACTGTTAACAAAAGCAAAGGGAATGTACAAAATTACGTTTGACTGGCTGCACAAAACAGTTCCATTCCTATCCCTCAGCACATTCTGGTTTTAGATTCTCCTTTCTTTCAAGGCAAGTTTGCTTAGCTTTAACAGGAAATCATTGACTTGACAGGAAAGGAGCTTCCACTAGGTGAAGCAGCAATAGTCATCTTTGGGCAAGAAGCATTTCAGGGGTTGACATCAAACAATACAAGCAAATATCTGATGGAACATGAACCCCAAGCAGAAGCATACACATACAGAGCAGTAAGTACAGATTTCCTCTCTTTAGAACAAAACATGGATCTACCTGTTTCACATTGTATCCAGTCTTTGCACTGGTCTCAATAAACATCACATTCAGCTCTTTGGCTCTCTGTTCACCTTCTTCTGTAGTGATTTGCCTGGACAAAGATGCAAACAGAAGCAGAAAGACAGAAAGGAAGAACAGACAGGAAGAGTTAGAGATGTCTGTGACTGAGACGCTCTTCAGTGGAGGGCCGCTTCACCACCCCTTACAAGGGTGCATAGTCCACCAATGGAGACCTCAGCACCTCTGAGTCTTTAAGACCCCTAGGTCCTCCAGCTAAGAATGAAACAACCTCAGGTAGGTTACCCAGGGAACACCTGGACTTATGACTATTAATAATGGATGATCAGCACAGGATGAAGTTTGTGCAGTACATTTGAGCCTCATTCACAGCATCCTCAAGGGAAGGAAGAATCCCCATACGCTGCACCTGATACAAAAAGCAGTTTCGCAAGTCAACAGGAGGGAACTCCGCGAGGTTACGGAAAGATTTCAGAAAGGCTCCAGCAGCAAGTGCAGTGCAACAGCAAGCGCTAGGCTGCTGCTTGCGAGCAAGCACCTGCATTTGCATCTCTGATCAATACCCTGTACATACCTGTTTCACACTATATCCTGCTTTAGCATTGGTTTCAATATACATCATATTCAGTTCTTGGGCTTTTCTCTCACCCTCCTCTATAGAAACCCGTCTACAGCAATGAGAACAAATCACAGAAAAGAAAAACCAAAGCAAAGCAAAATAGTCCAAAAATTATAAAAAGAAAACTGCAGGATAAGAGCAGCCACCAACTGAAGCAACATTAACAGGAAAGAAAAACTTAACCGGCTGCACAAAATAAGAACAGTGCTATTTTTAGGTCAGCTTTTTGGCCTCAGAATGTGCATCATCACTTGGTTTTTACCATAGGATGAATGGCTTCCAATATGCTGTATTCCATTTCGAAAAATGTGACCAAGCTGACTGATACTGCAGCTTTGTCCAGCCTTAAAAGGCCTAGTATTTCAGCCTAACACAAATGTAACTTCCTTTTAAAAAAAAGGCAAGGCAGCTTCTTTTACTTATACCTGGATATACACCATAATTCCAAATTCTAGCCTAGATCAGGACTACTGTCACTTACACTAAACTTCTAAAATAAGAATTTCTAGTGCTACAGAAACTTCAACTGTAGCTGTGTTTCAAACAATTTTCTGGTATTTTTAATTCTTACGGCAGTGCTGAGCCAGCTGCACACACACTCTGCTTCACTTATGTACTATCAGGAAATAATCCAAAACTGAAATTATCCCATTGCGTTTTCCAGTTCCACATGAAATTGGATTTTGATAGAAATTAGAAAGCCTCAAATCTTAAATGCCAGGTTATTCAGTTAGGGAGCTGCAGTTATTTCTAGCTCCCAGGAGGGCATAAGAGATACTAGGTGGTCAACATCCAAAGCTGGCTCAAGTAGAACATCTTGGATTTTGCTCCGTTGCTTTTGTAAGCTGATTTCAAAGACCAGACTGATCTGAGGTCTTGCCACCTGGAATTCTTAATCCAAATCAGCTATATGCATTTTTATCCTATTTCTGAAGCTCTAAGCACCAAGTTTTACCAACATTTCCAAAGTGCAAGGCACAGGACACTTAGAATGGCCTCCCACTGGAAGTGGGAAAAGCCAAATAGTCATCAAGACTAAGGTGGTCTGCATGTAGGGGACAGAACAGATTTCTGTAAGAACCATCAGTATGAAGCCAACACAGCACCCAGTTGGAGCCTAACTTTATCCTCTTCACCACTGACTCAAACCACTTGCCAGGATTAGAATTGTCTATGCTTTTCCTGCCAGGCATGACAAACTAAAAACTAACAGCATGACTTATACGGGGACAAAGGGCAAAAAGCATCTCCTGACACCAGTTCGTGCAGCCAGGGATGCTGGGTATTGTCTCATATGAGCATTTGGACAACACCAAAACCACAAGAGAAAAAACACATCACAATACATTCCAAAGCAATATGTACACTGCAGGAGTAAAGCAAGGTTTAAAATTTAAAACACGACAGCATCCAACAATGGAACAGTCAGAACCCTATTAGGCCCACCATCACAAGAAAACAGAGTAAACAAACAGGCAGTTAAGATAATAGTACAAGATTTTTCCGATAAAACATTACTGTTCCACCTGTAAGACTTTTCAAGCTGTTACCTTTTGACCAGAAGTGTCTCATGAACAGCCAAAGGATAAGGGTCTGATTGTATAAGACCTCATTTCGCCATGAGATTCAGATGTTTCCCAGTTCTGCCTTTTTGAGATGCTTTCTTTGCATCATATAAAAATTCCCCATCATGCCAATAATTCATATGTCCCATGACGTACGAAGCACACATTTTAGAGTACCTGATGTATGTGAAGATGCTTCAGTTTAAAGTATTGGGACTGTAAGGAACTGCATGGCTTACTCCGTCCTCCCTTTGCCAACTACTACTGACACTAACCATTAAAATAAAAATCTTTCCTTATCTACACTGTTTCTGATGTCTTCATAAAGAATGACAATCTCTGAAAACACTAAACAAAATTTTTCCTTAATCATCAATCAAGAGAAGAATTTGAACTAGAAATGCAAAAGCACAAGCCTGTGGTCTTTTAAGAAGCTATTACATTGGTTATGTTGGCTGAAGTAGTGTTGTAGAATTAAGAGTTTTAAAAGCAAAATGCTTTATGACATGTCCCAAAACATTAAGTCTGTGTAATTTTAAGAGTCTAATTAACTTTTTACATCTCTTGGGGAAGTCTGCTTCTGCTAATCTAGTTTCCTCTCACACATCCACAACATCACAGTTTGTGTTATGTATGGCATGAAATTTATGCTCAAAGGGAAACCTTTTAGATTGATACTGTAAAAGCTCATGCTGCGTCTTGTAACAAGGAGAAACTTTACTATGAACTTATAGTTGCACATGCAGAAAGAGTCACATAAATAGGATTGTTGAAAAAAGGTAGATTTCCTTGCTTTTGCAAGACATTTTTTTGGCTTTATCTCAGCATGAAAAAAAAAATCAGACAAAATACACTGTTGAGAAACATGGTATAGAGATACTTAATTTAAGCAAAAGGATTTTTTTTTAGGTGGGTTTGTTTTAACCAAAACTATTTGTAGAATAGCAAAAGGGAGTAACTCTGCATATGCTGAAACCAGAAACCTGAATTTCATGACAAGCTATTTATGCTTCGTTTAAAATCAACAATTGTTTTGACGACAGACTAGTCTGCCAGTTCCTTGCTTCTACTGGTCAGGACAGCAAGGCCAGCAGCTCCCCTCCATTACCTCTTGTCTGCCAGGTCAGTTTTGTTCCCCACCAACATGATGATGACATCACTTCCTCTCTCTGTCCGAACATCATCAATCCACTTGGAGGTTTGCTGGAAAGAATTCAAGTCTGTAGGGAAGAATCAAACGGGAGTGCTGAGGATAAAACTTCTTTTCAGAGAGGGAGAATGCTATGCCTGTACTCAGGTGCTTCTCCAAATCTCCCCACACCACATATAAATGACCAATAAATTGTTTTCCGCTCAGACAGAAAAACAGGGCAGGGAAAAAAATGTTTCTAATGATAACCATCTTTTTGCAGAACTTCTCGTTATAACTTATTAGTTCTGCTTACATGTAGTATTTCAAATAATGAGACACCAAAGCATCACTCACTTGTAATGTCATAGACCACCACAGCAATAGTGGAGTCGCGGATGTAGCTGGGAATGAGACTGCGGAACCGCTCCTGGCCTGCTGTGTCCCAAAGCTGCAGCCGAACCTGCTGGTACCAGGCCAGGGAGAGCAGAGAGAAAGAGAGAGAGAGCAAGAGAGAAAAGAAAGGAGGAAACTGTCCTTTAGAGAAAAGGCCATTTCTAGAATTAACTGTATGCAGCTCAGTCTGAGAAGCTTAGCCCACCATCTTGCCCCCCAAATATCCAACCACCACAGAAGTTGGCTTTTCTGACTCTGTTTGTAGATAATGTGCTTTAATTACCACCTTTGCTTGCTTAGAGATTCTGCTATTCCCAAAGAGCTCCAGGTTATGACTACTACCTCATTGGTGATAGCGGTAGCTAATAAGTCATAAAGAGCTGGTCTTCCTGGTCTACCCAGGATTATGCATGGGGTCTCCACAGGACTCCTGGCCTAGAGCATCTCAGATCAAAGCTTTTCAGGCAATTCCCACATGACAGACACGCAATTCCCTCAGCCCCATGTAGTAAAATAGCATCCGTTCTCCAGCATCAAGCACCCAGAAGATGGTAATGGCAATTTTCATGCAAGATTAAGGCAATCAGTAACTTAAGTTCCAGCAGAAACAAAAGCAAATTTACACGCTGTAGGCTTCAGGTGACACAAAGGGCATTGGGCTCTCCCTTTCAGATAAGCACAAGAGTCAGAAACAAGCACAAATGCTATGAGAGGTACAGTTTGATCTCTAGAACTATGCCCAAACACAAACTGACCTATTATATATGATTGTCTGGGACCTGCCTATTAGAAATAGCAATGGTCAAAACATGCCCAACTACCACAGTGAATGCTAAACAAAAGCTGTTCACAACTGGGAGTGATACCATTTCCTTCCAAGTCATTACCCCACATGGCTAGCTGTACAAGTAGCGCTACACTGCCAGAAAACAAGATTTCTGTTGGCATTCTCAACAGGCACAAGTTTCACAGGAGGGCAGATACTGGTTCCCAGCTTAATTACATGAATTGGTTAGATTGCTCACAAAGCCACTTGTTCAGCAACTAGGGAGAGCAGCTGTTTATGCGCAGAACAGTAGTTAATAGGGCAGCTTGCAGGAGACTGGCTACAAGGGAGAAAGCAGTTTCAGAAGGACCAATAATTGGCTTGTTTAGAAGAGAAACAGAAGCTGGACAGAGCACATGTCTGCACAGTGTCTTGCTACAGGAAGATTCAAAACAACATCATACCTACATCAGGGTATGTAGATCTGATGCCCTGGGGCTTAAGGAAGATTAGGACTTGTAGCTAAAGCAATTAGCTCATGCTTCGTTTTGAAGGCAGACTTGATTACAGCAGCAAAAGTCAGGACTCTTCATTACCCCAGGAAAACCAGGGTGACAAACTCCAAGCACCTGGACTATATTACACCGGTGCTGGAAGATCAGATTGATAATGACAGCTTCTGGCTCTTCTGGACTTCACAACAAGCTTCCACATAGTCCCCAAGACATTGCTGCTACACCAGACTATTCACCCAGAAAGTATACCGAAGTGTTGATTTAAACACTCCAACCTTCAAACTGCCAGTCCAAAAGGCAACTAGAGGAAGTACCACAGAAGTTGGGAAAAACTGGCCCCAGTAATCTAATCTTGTTGTAGTGAAGGGTAACACTATTTGAGGGAAGGCCTTCATCTACTATGCAGGTACCCTGCAGGCACCCCTGAAGTGACCTGAGAAAGTTAGCTGCAGTATTTCTGTAGCTTCTCATTTCTAGAAGTCAAAGTTTGTATGCACCTGTTTTGGAAGGGAAGAGAAAATATAAACAACCCACTCAAACATGACATGCTAACAACCCTACTGGTCTGGAAAGGTGAAAGGTCCTCAACCGAGAATTAACCCAGTCCCTCTTGCAAACAAGGTAACTTGTTCAGAAAGGGGCCCCGAGTTGCAGTATGGATTTTCACCATGGATCTCTCCACAGGCCACTTGCATTTCAAGATGCCCAGCAGATTAACAATGACTAAGCAACTACTCTTTTTCTTCTCAGCTCCCTACATGCTAGCTAACAGTTCTTCTCTACTAGTTAAGAGTATCTTGGCTGGTACTTAAGTATGTCCTGTGGGACTGTCCCTATTTTACACTACCATGACCTGCATTAACTTACAGGAGACTATTTGAGGTTCCCAAATACAGTTACCACTAAAGACAATGCAAATATATAGCTCTTCAGAGTGGTAAAGGAAACTGTGTTTTCCTAATCACGCTAGTGCTCACCATCATCGTGCCCTCAGAAGTACACGAGCATGTTCCTTTAATAACAAGAAAACTAAGAGCCTCTCAGTCACTAAGAACAGAACAAAGAGCAGTAACAAGAAAAAATGAAATTATCTGAAAAGATCAGACCATTACCAAAGTATGATGAGATCAGCTATCACTTAATTATTTTTGACATGTCTGGAAGCTGTTAAGAACAGCCTAGACTGGCAAGATTTTTCCACCTGCCTGGATAAACAGCATCCTGTATCTGTCACAACAGTGGGGAGAAAAGATGCCAGCCTATGCAGCCTGCCACACACACTGCCTCACCTAGATGAGTTCCCAGCATAAGACATCAAGTGCACATCTCAGCATTCCTCAAATCCCAAACAGATCACTTCATTTTGACATTAGTTTGGACCAAGCCAGAAATCATCCCAGAGTCAACTAGTTAAGCTACAGTACTGGGAGAAAGACCTTGTAATTATTTCCCCTCAATATGTACGATAAATCATAACAGAAGTCTATTATTTGTTAGGCACTTCAGTTAACTGAAGTGAAACAAACCCCTGGTCCGTAAAGCCTCACTATAATCTACAGTTTGTGACAAAATGAAGGTGGGCCATAGGTTTTTCATCTGCGCTACATTCATTACTTAGACTTTGTCCACATGGTGTTGGCTCACTGATATAAATCCTGTCTAGGTGTTTATGCTGTTACTGTAGCTTAACCAAAAAAGCCAGATCAAGTGGAATCAATAACAAGGAGTTAAAATGAAATAATTGTATTCATATCTTATACTAAAACATTCGTGCCAAGCGTTATAGAGAATTTCCCTCTAAGCTTGTTTATTGTTTAGAAATTATGGTAGTTACATCTCTTCTCTTTCAAAACCTCTCTCGTTACTCATACGAATAGCCAGCTCTCTTCTTCAATGAAATGGAAGTCTTGAATCCTCTTAAGTCACTACACAGCTTTTATTTAAATAGGTGTTGTACTGTTTTACCTACTCTGACAGTGTTCCTTTGCTTTGGCACCTGAAGTTGTTACATTTATTAACCTCTTCAGTTATCCAGAAAGGAAAAAAAATTCATCCTGAGGTTTAAAAAAAAAAAACAAACAAACCAAAACCCACCCCAACCAGAAAAAGTATAAAGCTTTCCAAAAGCTACCAATCACCTTTCATTCCAATCAGCACAGACACACGAGAAGTCACAATCCCTATTCACCTACCTGCCAATCCTGTGTATCATTTCCATTGTCTGAGCTTTGAGCAGACCAGAGTTTTCCAGTTCCCCAGTTTCTGTATTATGGGATGGAGTTACCACTGGTTGTGGAGGAAGATGCTCAGCTACATCCCCTCAGCCCATGAAACACCTACAGTCCTGGGGCCAAGCGCCTATCTTAGCCCTTTTCAGATAACACCACCACTTCCAATGAATAAAAGGTACATGTTAAATGCAAGGTCCCTGCAGAACTCCAGCTCAATACCTACTTGTAATGTCAAAGACAATGACAGCCACAGCAGAGTCACGGATGTAGCTGGGAATGAGGCTGCGGAACCTCTCCTGGCCGGCTGTGTCCCACAGCTGCAGCCTGATCTGGGAAATGGAAAAGTGTAGGGGAAGAGGGAAGGGGAAGAGCAGGAAAATGGAAAACAAAACCAAAACTCAAGTGAAATAAAAATAAAGAGAAAAAAAATTGCAAGGCGAAAATAATGCAACAAAAGGAAAGTTAAAATGGAACAGAAACGTGAAAAGTGCTAACGATACTTCTAACTGCATTCTCGCAGTAGCCTCAGCCTAGCATGTCTGAGAAACCTCCCTCCCTCCCTCCACAGACCCATTAATAACTCACATGTATGAACACGTTCTTCTATTTAATCATAAAACCAAGATATCCCTAAAAAATACCTTCTCACACCATCTGCAAATGAGGGAAATGAGCATACATACCTCAGTGCATCCTGCCATGTAAGTACTCTGGCTATAATGGCCACACAAGCAGACTGCAACCTGCAGCTAGCTACAGGCAGTGACTCCTAACTGTAAGGACTACATCACCCCGCTACTGATTAACCCTCTGGAAAGCCTGATGTGGTGAAACATAGTAGTGGGGCACAAGCCAGAAGAGCAACCACCCTCTAGACTGGCTTTTCTTGTGCTTAAATCCAACAAGTCTCGGAAGATACCGAGACACAGAAAAGGAAATACTGCTCGGGTCTTTCAAGAGTGAGGTTGTAGCTGTAACATGGAACCGGCAGCCTGAGAGTTGGGATTGAGGATGAGATTACTTGTGGCCCCAGTTCACTTAGTGCCACAGGTCCCAATGCACTGGCAACGTGCTGGAAATGGCATACTTACAACCGCCCTCTGTGGGAGGCCTTGGAGATGGTTTTGAAGAACCAAACTCCACATATATTTGTCCCTTCTGCTGGCTAGTACATGCTACCCAGGCCATATTTACTGCTGAGTGATCTAGCACAGGTATCATTCCAGGATATATTATTTGGTGTAAGGACATATCAAATATGCCAAAGCATATGCTGCAGTTAGAGGCTTACCATTCTTCATTTCAGGCCCGGCAGTCAAAGCCTATTGCAAAATACAGCATTAGCCATATCTGAGAAATTATTTCAATGTCTGAATTTTCCTAGCTTGTGTGCTTGTCTTTCTCCCTCCTCTTATCTACATGCAACACCTCTCTTATTTAAACAGGCTTTATGGGCTCTGTGGACCACTTACATAATCAGGAAAGCTAACAGTATACCTAACATTGGAAAGAAAATGGTATTTTCTGGATAGCAGGCCAGCAGGTGAATGACATCCTGACCCACACAACCACAAGAAATCAAGACTACACTGCTGAAAACAGCACACAGGCATTCCAACTTGCCTTCACTGGTGTCAAGCAGCATTCCCAAGATCTTTTTCTTCTTCTGCCACCACCACTGAAGAACGTAATTCAAGTAGGTTCTCCCATACAAAGATTAAGCAAGGTCTTTTCTAATAGTGAATCACTGGTAAGATGGCAGAGAAGCACTCGGGAAACTCACCACACACACTGGGCTGGGACTTCTTCAGAAGCAACAGACCCAAAGCAACAAAAAGGACTTCCATCGCACCACTGGCCCCTTCTTCCCCACAACAGTTTCATACTTCTCAGCCAGTAGTGAAACTAGCAAAAAGGCAAGTACTAGCAAAACCTGAACTAATAAAAAGACACATACTGAAAGACAGGAGAGGGATGCGAGGGATCTCTTTATGCAAAAAGGAATCTCATGCAAGCTAAATCCAAAATTGCTTTATTAACAGTACGTCAGAACTGTGTTACAAAAGGAGCCTTTCTACAAGGAGGAATTATGCCACCACTGGTAACCATGAATGACTTCAAGACTTGGAACTGCCTGGGGTCTGCTCGGACCCATTTATACTGACAATCCTAGAGGCAGAGCTGCAAATTCTGGGAGGAAACTACACCTAAGGTACGTATAACAGACAACCCATTCCCTGGGATATGGACATTAGCTTGCCTCAATTTTGCATGAAAGATTTTGACTTCATTCTATGGGTATCAGATATTAACAAGCACCACAAACAGGAGAGTGGGTCAGTGATTTGACTCAAAGGCTGTCCCTCTGAAGGCTGCTGGGGGATTTCAGCAGCCATTGGAGGAATGGCCAGGTGAAACAGCACACACAGCAACTGCTGCTCCCATGACTGCAGTTGCCATGCTATCACACAGATGCCCCACTTACCGTGCGATCTTCAAGATACATTGTTTTTGACAGGAAATCAATTCCAATGGTCGCCTGAAAAGAAGAAAAGCATTAGTAACTGCAACTTGCCTTCCAACATCTGCAAATCAGATCTTTCTATACAAACTCTCAGAAATGTTCACAAACTTATAATTAAGCTGTGGACCATATTTGCCTTCAATATAGTTGATAAAAACAAAGCAATCTGGGTATCTGTGCCATCTTCATTTCACATCATTCTTCCAACATTTCTCAACTGCACAAGAACCTCTGAGTCTCAATTTTAGCCTCAGACATTCATGAGTCTTAACACAGATCATATCTGAAGTGGCTTCTCCTTCTGGTCTACCGCAATTCAGTCTGGTAAGAGCTATCTTATTAGAAATAACCAAAAGGTAGAGCAAATTACATATATAAATTGTGGGTGACTGTGCTGAAAGCTAAAAAGCAATGCTTATTCGGGACTTTCCATTTCAGGTTATGCTTCCTTTCCAGTGACATTCAGAAGCTTCATTTCCCAGGCAGTTCTTTCTGTAAGCCTCCTTCCATTCACGTTTCCATTGCTGTACAGTAATTCCAGTACAAAGACATTTAAATTAATTTACTAAGCTAGAGGCGCTCCCAGGCACTTAAATCAAGCAGATGTCCTAGCCCATCATAACCCTGGGAAACAGGTGACAGGTTACCAATGTAACAGATTTTAGTATTTTAGACAGATTATCTCCAGTCTTAGCAAACACAGGCAGCATAACATGTTCTGGAAGGTCTCCATCAGAATGTGAAACATTTAACATTAGAAGAGACCATAACAGTCAATTTCTGTAGTGAGTACTTATTTCTGGGAGTCCTATTTTCTGCAGCCAGGACACAGTTTATAACAACTACAATAAGCAGATGAATCTCTGAGAGCACCTTACAAAAGTCAGGAAAAGAAACACAGAAAGCACAAGAGGATCCAGTTCCAGTGAATGACTTGTCGTCAAGAAAGCAATCTTCTCTTCCTTTTCCAACTTAAAATTACCCCAATGTAAACCCATAACTCCTTCTCGCCTGAATTAAAAGAGAAAGCCCTAGTCTCATCTTCTTTAAAGATATTTGGTATTTCCTTGAAATACTGCTAAGTGGTTTTGATGCAACTAACTCTTCCTGAAATCTTCAGGCCTCTTGCGCATCTTCAGCTTTTCATCTGCAGCCTCTTCATCCCCACCCTACTCTTTCCCTGCCAAGACTTCCCTGGCTTTTTCTATCTATAGCCTTTTAGTTAAAAAAATAGCAATAATAAAAAAAATTAAGAGAGAGAATATGCCATGCTGACTTCTTGCAGATGTATCTATACACTCTGGACTCAATTACTCCTACTTAAACAGCAAGCCTCTGAAGATGCTAAAGACCAAGAACTATCATAAGCGTGTTTGTATCTTATTCATTCGCTGTTTCCCGAGACTTCCATATCCATCATCAGGCATCCTGACCATTATCTTCTCTATTAGCCAACCCCACAAAAAAATGTTTCTCCCTGTTTTCCTCAAGGTTTCTCACATATCCAGACAGGATCTAAACCTTGCTTCTTTTTTGTACACTGTATTTCCTGACATCACACTAAATGCTTGGGCTTAGTCATGAAGTCTCTTTTCCATTTCAAGGCACCTTACAACCTTACATGTGATACTGAACTGACATTTCATGGAGAAATGTGCTTGGCCCTAACAGTTCTCACAGGCATACATTTTAATAGTGGGGAATAGATTTACCCATATATATATATATATAAAATAAAAAAAAAATTAAAAGTCTACCACATACCTGGTAAGTATTGTCAAAACTGTCATACATAAACCTGGTGATCAGAGAGGTCTTCCCAACTACAAAAGAAGAGATAAATTACTTTCAAGCAGCAGTGGGGAAAAAATAACCACTGCTTTGGGAGTGGCATGCTGGTAGTGCCAATCATCAGAATTGAGCTGCCAGTCTAAGGCTATTTTCCAGCTATGGCCTCCTGCAAAATAACCAGGGAAGAAATTCATTCACAAAATGATAGAAGTATGTTAAGCCAAATCAATCTCAGTAGGTCAAAAATTAATCATGATGAAAACTTGGTCCTCAAATTAGGTACGTTGCGATGCATATGACAAAGAATTATTTATTTGCTTTAAGCGAGCAATAAACTTGCGCTGCTACTCGTATTTCTGTACTTATGTAATCACCAAGTCTAGAACTTACAGGCATAAGCATCAAAACAAGACACAGTGATGTCCCAGACACTGTTTAGCTGCCTCTGGCTGGATAGAAAAGCAACATTCAAGACTCACATCCTTTCTTCATAACAAGATTTTTAGATACAGAGTAAACTTTGGTGGCTTGCTTAAAAACTTTAGATTTATGTCTCCAAATATTATCAAGAGAGAAAGCGCAGAACCAACAAGAAACAGGAACCAAAGATAAGAGCTCTGATTCTCTCTCAGGAAGCCAAGAAAAATTCAAAGGACATAGATGGAAGAGGCAAAAGGAATAAACTGCCTAGAAAGGTTGTGAAATTGTGAACGCTGGGTTAAAAACCGGTTAGACAAATGTCTATCAGCAGCAATGTCAAAGGTGGGGGAATTAGACAACTCCTGGAAATTCCTCCAAGACCTACAGTTCTGGGACCGAGAAGGAGGTAATCAGTACGAGATCTAAAGAGAGTAACACAGCAAAGAATACCACAATTTCAAGAAAAAGATACAACTCGTCCATATATTACGAGGGAAGGGGTACAAAAGGGAGGCAACTCCCAGGCAAAACAAAAAAAAAACCCCGAAGACGTAAGGGAGGCAGCAGCCATGCTATATACAAACAGCACCGCCTCCCCAGCGGCACGGCTGCGGGCGCACTGCGGGCCAGCCCCGGCCCCGGCAGGCGGGTACCACAGGCCCACCGGGGCAGGCTAAGACCGGCTGAGCGCTGCAAACGGGGAACCGGCCGCTCGCTAGGCCCGCGCCTCCCGCCGGCCTGAGGCCTAAGGCCGGGCCGCCCCTCCCTCGGGCGGGGGTCCCGGACGCCTCATCACCGCCTCCCC